CTGATTGAGTTGCTTCGAGAGTAGAGAGATGTGTTTGCTTGGTCGTATGAGGACATGCCAGGTTTAGACACTGATTTAGTGGTACATAAATTGCCAATAAAACCCGAATATAAACCAGTACAACAAAAGCTCAGAAGGATGCGACCCAAAATGCTGCTTAAAATTAAAGAAGAAGTAAAGAAGCAATTCGATGCTGGTTTCCTAAAAGTAGCCAAGTATCCGGAATGGGTAGCGAATGTTGTTCCAGTACCAAAAAAAGATGGAAAAGTTCGTGTGTGCGTCGACTACAGAGATCTTAATCGGGCCAGTCCGAACGATAATTTCCCTCTGCCACATATAGACACTCTGGTGGATAATACGACTGAAAATTTTCTATTTTCATTTATGGATGGGTTTTCAGGTTACAATCAAATAAAGATGCATCCAGATGATATGGAAAAGACTACATTTATCACCATGTGGGGCACGTTCTGTTACAAGGTGATGCCGTTTGGGCTAAAGAATGTAGGGGCAACCTATCAAAGGGCCATGGTAACACTATTCCATGACATGATGCATAAGGAAATAGAGGTCTATGTTGATGATATGATTGTCAAAGCTAAAACGGAGGAAGAACACATCGAGAATCTGAGGAAACTCTTCCAAAGATTAAGGAAATGCCAGTTAAAACTCAACCCAAGTAAGTGTACCTTCGAGGTAACATCAGGAAAACTCTTGGGGTTTGTAGTAAGCAAAAAAGGGATTGAAGTGGATCCTGACAAGGTCAAAGCTATTTAGAATTTACAACCCCCACAAATACAAAAAGAAGTTCGAGGATTCCTAGGAAGATTAAACTATATTGCCCGATTTATTTCGCAATTAATCGAGAAGTGTGACCTTATTTTTTGCCTTCTCCGTAAAAATAACCCAGGAGTATGGAATGATGATTGCCAAGGAGCTTTTGAAGCAATAAAAGGATATTTATCGAATGCTCCAGTCTTAATGCCACCAATATCAGGCAAACCATTAATCCTATACTTGTCAATCTTTGAGAATTCAATGGGGTGTGTATTAGGGCAACATGATCAAACTGAAAAAAGAGAAAGAGCAATTTATTATCTCAGCAAAAAGTTCACTGATTGTGAGGCAAGGTACTCACCAATAGAAAAGTTGTGTTGTGCTTTAGTTTGGACTACCTGAAGGCTCAGGCAGTATATGTTGTATCACACTACTTGGCTGATATCTAAACTTGATCCTCTGAAATATATAATGGGTGTACCTGCTTTATCTGGAAGATTGGCTCGTTGGCAAATCTTATTGTCTGAATTTGACATCCAATATGTAAGCCAAAAAGCAGTTAAAGGAAGTGTTGTGGCCGATTTCATTGCAAGTAGGGCTTCTGAAGAGTATGAACCACTGAACTTTGATTTTCCAGACGAAGATTTAATGGTTATTTCAACTGAGGAGGTAGTTTCCTCTAATAATGAACAGTGGAAGATGAATTTCGATGGTGCCTCGAATGCCTTGGGGCACGGGATTGGGGCAATTCTCGTCTCACCTGGTGGAAAACACTATCCTTTCACCAGCCGATTGAATTTTGATTGCATAAATAACATGGCCGAGTATGAAGCATGTATTCTGGGTCTTAGAGCGGCCATGGAGCGTAAAGTGAAAACACTCAAAGTATACGGGGATTCAGCACTGGTAATTTATCAACTCAGAGGTGAATGGGAAACAAAGGATACGAAGTTGGTGGAATACCGTAAGTTGGTCCTAGAGCTCATTAAAGAATTCGAGAGAGTGACATTCCATTACCTTCCCAGAAAAGAGAATCAAATGGCGGATGCTCTGGTCACTTTGGCAGCAACCTACAAAGTCAATGAATATTCAAGCATGATGTCTATTACGATGCAAGCTTATGGGTATCCAACCCATTGCTATAGCATAGAAGAGGAAAATGATGGAAATCCTTGGTATTACGACATCATGCAATATATTAAATATCAAAACTACCCTGAGCATGCCACTAAGAATGACAAAAGAACTATTCAAAGAATGGCGGTAGGGTATGTTCTTGATGGTAATATCTTGTACAAGAAGAGTCATGATCAGGTCTTGTTGTGATATGTGGATGTCAAAGAAGCCAGAACGATTATTGAAGAAGTGCATGAAGGAGTATGTGGTACTCATGCTAATTGACACACAATGGCTAAACAAATAATGAGATTTGGATATTATTGGTCAACCCTGGAAACTGATTGTATCAATTTCTCCAGAAAATGTCACAAATGCCAGATTTATGGAGATAAGCTCCACACCCCTCCTCATCCATTGCACGTAATGACTGCTCCATGGCCATTCTCTATGTGGGGCATGGATGTCATTGGGAAAATTTCACCCAAAGCTTCTAATGGCAATCGTTTTATATTCGTGGCAATAGACTACTTCACTAAGTGGGTAGAATAGGCCTCCTATGCAAATGTCACTCAGTCAACAGTTTGCAAGTTCCTGAAGAGAGAAATTATTTGTCGGTATGGGCTACCAGAAAGGATCATCACCGATAATGCCTTGAATTTAAACAATAAGATGATGGAGTCAGTATGTAAATAGTTCCAGATTAAACATCATAATTCCACCACTTATCGCCCAAAGATGAATGGAGCGGTAGAGGCAGCCAATAAGAACATCAAGAGGCTCATACAGAAAATGACTAAGACTTATAGAGACTGGCATGAGAAGCTACCATTCGCTCTGTTTGCTTATCGAACTTCAGTAAGGACGTCCACTGGGGCAACTCCATTTTCTTTAGTTTATGGGATGGAGGTTGTGTTACCCATCGAGGTTGAGATTCCGTCACTACGAGTGCTGTCAGAGGTTAAGCTAGATGAAGCAAAATGGGTACAAACCAGGTATGATCAGTTAAACCTGATTGAGGAAAAAATATTAAAAGCCATATGTCATGGGCAAATGTACCAGAAACGTATGATAAGAGCACATAATAAAAAGGTTCATCCACGAGAGTTTCAAGAAGGAGACTTGGTGCTAAAAAAGATTTTGTCAATTCAGAAAGACTTTCGAGGAAAATGGATGCCAAATTGGGAAGGACCTTATGTGGTAAAGAAGGCATTTTCCGGAGGAGCTTTGATCCTGACTGAGATGGATGGACCAAAGTTACATAACCCTGTGAGTGCTGATGTAATCAAGAAGTATTTCGCCTGAAAAAAAAATGAAAAAGACTAAAAAATGAAAAAAAAAATAAAAGGAGGGTTCAAGATGAAAACTCGTAAAGGACGTCTTGTAACCAGAGGTCTCAGGTTGAAAACCCGTAAAGGGCGACTTGAGAATTGTGTAAATTCAGAATTCGTGCATGGTGGAGCTAAATTAGTTGGGTAACAAGAAAGTAAACAAGACTCAAACACTGGCTTATGGAATTCAACAGTCGAAAATTTGGCAGTATTGGGGGAACTTCACACCCTTACGCATTACCATAATCCTCAAGATCTCCTTGACAGAAGCTACACTCAGGTCCTCTTACGGCGTGCTAGATCAAAAGCATTCATTCTATTGATGTTTGATGACGCCTACTGTATTTTCTTTTAATTATTCCTTTTAAAAGTTTGTCATGTATTCACTCAAAAATCTCTTTATTTATAAATAAAAAGATGTTTTTAACCGCATTGTAAATATCCTGATTAAAAATAAAAACATGTATATTAGCTCGAAAAAAATGAGATCATTGTGCATTATTGTACAAAAAGTTTTGGAAAATACAGATATTCTGAAGCCGAAAATGGTTTTAGCATAAGGCTTGTGCAATGTTAGACCATAAGAAGTTAAACCCTTGGGATATACGTGAATGCTTAACAATTGGGGATAACCTAAGAGGTTTTGTCACTAATTAAATAGTGGGTCATGAGAAGCACATGGGTTCAAAGAGTAAAGAGAATCAGAGTCAGGCTCAACCAAAGAATGCCCAACCAGGGTTTTCGATCGAGATAAACTGCTGTTGATTTTTCGTGCCCAAATCAGTCTGAAGTACAAGGCCATTAACAAAATAAAATTCTCGTTTGAAAAGAAAATACCCTTAAAATAACTACATCATTGCATACATTTTACGCATAAACAGGATCATGACATAAAATGCATAAAAATAAGTGCTTGCGGGTTCTCTTAAAAGAAAGGGCAATGATGTAAAGACCCAATAAAGAAATAACCAATTAGAATTTCCATGTTTGGTTGTGACAAAACAAGCTTCCGCAAGAGAAATCTCTTCCAAAACTTATCTTCCCAAGACTTTCAGGTATGATGTTTTCGAATCCTCAAACACATATTAACAAAGGTTAATGTTTAATTTTCAGGTTCGATCCCGATTCAATGGATCAACTCCCCCATATCTGATATTTCCTTCAGAGTAAGTAGAACATGTCTCTCTTCTCCAAGATTTGATATTCCCTTCAGAGTAAGTGGAACAAGTCTGCCAGATCTGATATTCCCTTCAAAGTGAGCGAAACAGATCTCTCTTCTCAAAGATTTGATATTCCCTTCAGAGTAAGTGGAACAAATCTCTCTTCTCCAAGATCTGATATTTCCTTCAGAGTAAGCAGAACAGATCATTCTCTTTCAAGATTTGATATTCCCTAAGTGACAGTGGAACAAGTCTACAATGATTCAATCTTCCCTGAGTGACAGCGGAATGGATCAACTCATCCAGATCTGATATTCCCTTCAGAAGAAGCAAAACAGATCCCTATTTTTCAAGATTTTATATTCCCTGAGTGACATTGGAACAAGTCTACCCTGATCCAATCTTCCCTGAAGAACAGTGAAATGGATCAACATCCTCAGATCTAATATTCCCTAAATGACAGCGGAACAGATTCCTCATCATATTTCAAACAATGAAGTTGACCAGACAGAAAAACACATTGTCTCTTCGTCTTTGCCCTATTCTCGTTGATACAAAAATATGACAAAGAGGGACAACTGTTGACACTCGTTTTTCTGTTCTAAATATTATTAAATATTATTATTATTATTAATATAATTTTTTTACAAATTACAAATAAAGGACTCATCCCAGCAACCCAGATGCAACATTTCCAAGCCCAATACAAGATCCAGCAGACCATGACTCGGATCCGACCCAAACATGAATTGGCCCAGAGTAACACGTTTGAAGTTAGGGTTTTTAACCTTAAACTAAAACTGTCATTGTCTCCAACAAATGAAACAGTTGCTGCTGCTAGTGACCATCCAAATTCCAACCGGTGCATGAGCCACCGCTGCACGTATGCTTCGGCCGAACCTTCACCGTCGATCATCGAAGTCACCATCGTCATCACCTACGCCATATATCACTCAAGCAACCACAAAATCACCAAATCAGTGCAAAATCAAAAATCCACTAAACCTATTTAAAATTTCAGAAATTAGGTATCCTTACCTAATATACCATTATTTGTATGTAGTGGAATATCCATTAAACAACTAAGTTTCACTATAAAAGCATAGAAACAGATTCGAACAAAAGGAGGGGGCATTCGGATTTGAAAAGAAAAAACAGGGGTTTCTACTACTGATCTTTAATTTTCTGTTTTGAAAGCATTGTAACGGGGAGTTACACTTCCAAAATCAGAAAGCAAGAGAAGGCAATAATTTTTTTTGAGGTATTTCGTGTTTTTTTTCTGATTTCCAATATGTTAAGTGAATGTATGTGTGCATGTATTTGTTTTTTTAAACAAGTAATAAAAACAGCAATGAAATAAAAAAATTTCTAACAGCCTATGAGTAGAAAACCCAGCTAAACCAAAAAAATAACAAAATAAATAGGAAAGAGGGGTCGATCGGGTTTATCTTTGGCTTATAGAGGAGTAAATGTCTTCAAATTCTGTCTGTGTCATAAGAAGTCTCGGTGTTTGATTTAGAAGTTAGGGTTCTTGCATGGTGGTTATTTAGATCACGGTTTAGAGTAGAAGTGAGGTCTTGAGAGATTAAAAAAAGGATCAGAATACTGAGTATCAATTTTAAGGTGTTGAAACCTTTTCAAAGGTTTTTTTTAACAACAATAATTTAATTTTTTTTACTTGGGTTCGAACTAAAGAGGGGAATTTTTTTTTACCTGGTATTTGGTCTCTTCATCGTCGTAGTGTGGCCCCGATGATTGAACGGCGGTCGAGTTCAGGGGTTGAGAGTGGCGTCGTGTGTGTGTGTAAGAATGAAAGTGAAGGAGAGAATGAAAGAGATGGTACAAGCGGCGCAGGTGTTTTACACATATAAATTAGGGCAATTTTCATTCAAAATAATATATATATATTAAATTTTTTTTTTTTGAAAATAATATATTAAATATTTAAAACTACAACGTATGGGTGTGTTAGGGAAATACTCAATTCATGCATGGGTTATCACTTGGAAGAACCATTCAAATTTCATGTTTCATGCGTTTTGGTCCCTAAATCAAATGTTTCCTTATTTTCAATTTTGCATCTTTATTTTATGCATTTTTAATTTCGGTCCCTAATGTTATGTTATTTAATTTTTGTTACTTTAGACATTAAACTCTAAATTTTGCATGTTACTTGTCAGTCCTATGTATAATTAGAGGTTTATTTCAATTTCTGTACATGAAATGTAATATTTGATATTTATGTCTCAATATATGTCGAATTATAATTTTAACTTTGATTTGATTTTAAATTATTTTTATTATAATTATTACAAGATATAAAGTTGATTAATTAAATTTCTTGTGATCAATTATGATTTTATTAAGTTAATAGTAATTAATTAGTTTATTTCCTATATATATATGTATTAATTAATTGATATAAATTTTTCTTTTCTTTATTTATTAACATCATGAACATTATTTTTAAAATCATTAGAATATATGTTTTTACTTAAACTCTAAACTTTATTAGTTTTAACCTTGTTAATGTTATTCTCTTTATTTACAGTTTGTTTTGATTTGTTTATTTTATTGAGTATATATCTTAATTACTTTTAATATTTTTATTCTTTTATTTTAATCCTTGATAGATCATTTTTAGTCCATAACCTCTTAATTATTCGAATATTAAAATTAATTCAGGATAAAAATAGAGCCTCCATTTTAGCTTAGATTAAAAACTAGTCTTTTAATTTAGGGGATAATTTGAGTTGGCCCTCGCGTAAACGCTCGAAGAACCATCTCAGTTATTCGATTCATTAATTAATTAAAATCGAATACGATTAATATTAGAGCTTACATTTTTTAGATTTGAGCTCTTAGGTTCCTTAATTTTCATAATTTGACACTTTAAGTTAGAAAATGCCTTAATTTACTTTTAGTTTAATTAGGACAAATAAAATGTTGTTTGATTGCATTGTTTTTTTTTTCTTCTACAAATCTAAGGCACTGTTCACTTATTAAGGAATTAATAGTATATCTCCCGCGATCGTGCTCAGGGGGTGACTACTGGTAATTCCTTGAATAAGTCAACATCCTGTTCAAAACCACATCATGTTTTATAAAAATGAGGCAATATTCAGTTATTAGGCACAATAGTTGATCTCCCGCATTTATGCTCGGGGGCGAATGCTATTGGTCTTGATAAACGAATACCCTTTTCAACTTTGCATCCTTAATGATTTTTAAATTAAATAAAGATTGAACTCAAAGTTTCCGATTTTAAATAAAAGGTAATTAACTAGGTACCAATAATTGGGCGCTTATGGGGGCTAATCCATCCTCATGCGTAACTGACTCCCGAACCTGATTTATGGATTTTTGTAAACCCTAAAACTCAGTATTTTGATAAAAATAAAATATTTTATTAAAATCACCCGGTTTTTACGGTGTTCCAATCGCACCTCAAATGATTGGTGGCGACTCCTCACATTTCGAAATGATTTTCAAAGAAAAAACCTCGAGTCAGTATCGGTTTTTTTTCCTCCGGGTGAAAAACGGTTACGACATAAATAAATACAAACGAATATTACAACCCAAAATTTAATGGTCAAAAAGAAAATATTTAAAATTACATGGACCAAAATGAGAAAAATAGCAACTTAAAGGACTAAAATGGCACAAATAGAAATTTAAAGGGCTAAAACAGTAAAAACCAAAACTTAAAGGTTTAAAATGGTATTAAAAGAAACTAAAAGGGCTAAACATTAATTACAAAATAAACCAGAGCCCAGATCGAAAATATTAAATAATATAGGAACCAAAAATTTAAATAACCCCCTAAATATAATTTAGGACTAAAAATGAAATAAACAGAAACATAAAGGGTTGAACCAGAATTAAACACAATGCCAACAATGACTAAAATGAAATATTTACAAATGTCATGTCTAAATTCGAATATTAACAAAAATAACACAACATATAATAATAGGACCATAATATAAATAATGAAATATAAATGCTCAAAATCAAAGAAAGTAGAACTTCATTACATGGCTTCAATATGATATTACAAAGCATGAGGGACCTAAAGTGTGGTTAACCCACAAGCTAAAATACAAACCGGTCCCCCTCGAAACTATGTCGTTTCATGGGGATATATAACCCTTAGCCCAAAGTATTCTCTTCTCACTTTTCTCATTTGTTTCATTTCACAAAAACCAGAAAAGAGAGAAATTGAGGGATTCTCTCAACTTCCTCATCGGGGAGAGAAAAGCCACTGCTCGTCGGTGGTGCCCCACGACAGAGCACGGTGGCCCACGGTGGCTGGAGTGAGCAAAACACTCCCCGAATGCTCCTCTTGTCACCCCCAACATATATCCTAGCCCCACCCGACCTAAAACCTCTCTTAGAGCCCTAGATCTAGGAAAAATGAGGCCCTTTACCTTCAGTGATATGGTTCCTCGAACTCCAGTGAGACCACAACTACAAGACCCGGGTGCAAGGTGAGTTTTCTGCGTTCTTACTTCTCGGTTTGTTTGTTTTTCTCAAAAGGTTTTCCTTAGTTTTTTCCTTTTCGAAAGTTTCTCTCTATTTTCTCTCCCTCTGTATTTTTCTTCCCCCCACCAAATCGTTTCCTCTCCTTTTTCTTCTCTTTCTTTCTTTCTTTGTTTATATCCAGCTTTTGTGATTGATGAGTTTTGCTGCCCAAGACAGAGGCTAACTGTACTTTAGGATATCATTTTGATTTCCTTTTGATTTTTCCTTATATTTTTCTCTGTTTCCTGACTGAAAAGATGGATGATGGATGCATGTTACTGTTCGGTGCAGGTTTGTCGATGGCGGAGAGAAAAGGCTTGACTTGAGCGACTCATCGGTTGGGAATTTGAAGAGTCATTAGAGGTTGCGATGGTTGGCTTTAGCTGATGGCATTTAGGGTTTCAAAACCCTAAGTGCACTGGGCCGATTCATGTCAGAATCTGATGGGCTTCGGGTTGAATGCATGAACCGGGTTGGACCAGCTGCTGGCTTTGGGTTGTTGGACTGCTTGTACTGGGCTCTCGGGTTTGGGCTTAAACTTGTAAATGGGTTAGGCTTTTAGGGTTTGTATCTGTTGGGCTCAGGTTTAAGCCTGCAAAAATATGTAATAGATGTTAACATAATAATAATAATAATAATAATAATAATAATAGATAAAATATAAAATAAAAAGACTCAAACAAAAACAGGTGTCTACATGTGGATGGTAGTGAAGTTGACTCAGACTCACCTCGCTTGTCATTGCTCGATGAAAATGGCGAAAACAAGGGTATGGATCTTTGAAGAGGAGATTTGTTAAGAAGCCCAAGAGAGTTGATTCCCTTGATGTTGAAGCCATGGCCATTGCCGATGCTCATGCTCACCAAACTAAGGTTAATTAATTTCATTATTGCTTATAACGTCTTTTTTTTCTTTTGCTCTTCAAAGTATGAGCTTTTCAGGTTTTGCTGCACCAATATCACATTGCTATCTTTAATCATTGCTTAGAATATTGTGAAATTGGTATAAAGTTCATTGCTTGGGATGACTATTTACCAATTTCTTATATTTACCCTTTAAAGTTGAAAATTAATCACTAATGAAGTTTAGCATCTAACAAAGAAAATGAATGACTTTAGCAAGTGCTGTGATTGAAGGGTCTTCTCTGTTTTTTCTGTTATATTCATTTGGCCCAGCTTGACTCAGTTATGACTCTTGCATGTACTTTTACCATTGAAAGTGAACCTTATCTTGTCTTCAATAACTCCAAAGAATTGTTTTATCAACAAGCTTTAACTATACCCTCTTACCAAAATGTGATGCTTTATTTAAACAGGAGCTTTCGACTTGGCGCACTCTTGCATTGGCATTTCAAACACTTGGGGTTGTGTACGGTGACATAGGCACAAGTCCTTTATACGTTTTCAGCGATGTCTTCAGCAAAGTAAAAATTGAATCAGAGGTGGATATCTTGGGGGCTTTATCACTTGTGATGTACACAATAGCCCTAATTCCCTTGGTGAAATATGTGTTTGTAGTGCTTAAAGCCAATGATAATGGGGAGGGTAAGGGATTTCTGTAGCAATACTCTTAGTCTCCTTACCTTTTACTGGATATTTTGAAGATGATTTACATGTTAACATATAAATTAATGCGGATGTAGGGGGGCCGTTTGCGCTCTACTCACTGATTTGCAGATATGTGAAGGTCAACATGCTGCCGAATCGTCAGCCAGCAGATGAACACATATCGAGTTTTATGCTCAAACTGCCTACTCCTCAATTAGAAAGGGCTTTTAGCATAAAAGAGACTTTGGAAAGGAGATCATCCTTGAATACCATCCTGTAGCTGTTGGTTTTGATAGGGACTTCCTTGGTCATAGGAGATGGTATTCCGACCCTGCAATATCAGGTAGATAGGTTTGTACTAATCTTGCATTGAAGTTAACGAATTCAGGTTTTAAGCAAATACTATTTCGACTCCTGCCTACAATTTGTTTATGAATAGATGAATGGCATTAGAGGCTTTGAACCTGACTGTTGGATATTTTGTGTTGCAGTTATGTCTGCTGTAAGTGGTCTTCAGGGTGCCATTGAAGGTTTTGATACAAGTGGGTACTTTTCATTTGGTTTTGTTTCATACCAAATATTTACAGTTCATTAACTGCCATCTTCTTTAGAAGAACTGAAAGAGGTGAAGTATTTATAGTAGAGGAGCCTCGAGTTTGATTACTAAATAGCTGTTCTACTGGGCTGGCTGAATATGCAGTATCATATGAGGCAGTTCTTAACTAATAAATAAAGTTTCAAGCATTAACCAGTAAACTAATTTGTTTTTTCATCATCAACTGT